AACCAGAAGGCCTGGGACGAGCACGTACCCGCCCTCCAGTACGCTTTCAACACCGCATGGAATGAGGCGACCGGGTACACTCCGGCCTACCTCAACCACGGCCGAGAGTTAGCCCGACCGCACCCCGAAGACCGGCAGCGCCAAGGGGCCGGCGCCGCACCAGAAACAACCGCGCGACATCTGAGGAAGGCACACGAGCTCGTGCAAATTCACCTGGCCCGAGTATTTCAACGCCAGGAACGCCACTACAACCTACGGCGACGAGACTGGCAACCACGAATTGGGGAGCTCGTGTGGAGAAGAAGCCACCCCCTCTCGAATAAGGCCAATGCGTTTAACGCGAAATTAGCCCCAAAATTTGTGGGGCCCTTGGAGGTACGCCGGATTATATCTCCGGTAATCGTGGACCTGCGAGATACCCGGGGGCGCTGGCACCGCCACGTCCACATACAAGAGCTCAAAGAGCACCCGGACAAGGCCGAAAACAACCAAGGCACGAGACGGAATGATCCCGACCGACCGAGAGCACCACCCCCAAACAACGCCGGCCCTGGCCATTGACCACCGTCAGTACCGCCGATCACCACCCGAGGGCGCTCGACTAGCCGCGACAACAACCCGCGCCACACTCCGCGAAGGGTATAAAAATCCGCGAGCCGGGCAATCGAGCGATCAATCGGCCATTAGTCACGATGCCGACACAAGCCGAGAGAGAACAGCTAGAAGCGCTATTCGGGAGGTGGTCATCCGACAGCGACCTGTCGGATGTGCCGGAGCCACCTCCCGCCGAGCCACGACCGAGCAGCACGGGACGACCGCCAACCGACGTCACCCGCCGACCGCCGCCACGGGTAGGCACGTCGATCCAAAGGGGCGACGCCGAAACCAGGAGGAAAATCCTCCTCCTGGCCACCCCGCCGCCGCCACCGGATCGCCGCCGGCTGAATCGCGGGCGAGCATCGGCCCCGCCGCCACGGCCCGTACGGCCCAGCCCGGCCGTAAAAGAGACGCCGCCACCAGAAGAGCCACGACCACGGCCACCGGCGCGAGCACCGGCGACCACGCGCCCGACACTGAGGCCGGCTCAGGCGCCACAGCCCACCACGGCCAACAGGGAAACACCGCCTCGGCCAGTGGGATCGCGGCCGCGACCCCCGGCGCGCGCACCGACGCCAGCCACCGGACGTCCGACGCCGACATCCGACCGACGGATCACCGAAGCCGCCGGCCCGCGCCCGACGCCATGCGCCGCCGCGGCCCAGCCGATCCGCAAACCGACGGACGCCGGACGACAGCGACCCGTAGGGGCTCGCCCACCGGAGCCTACCACGGTCCACGTGGCACCCGGGCAGGCCATCAGCGTGCCGCACACCGCCCGACACGTCGAGCGGCGATTCCGCCAGTGGACTCCGGAGGGCCAGTGGGTCCTCCGTTTCAACCACGACGGGACCCTCCGGAGCACCCACCTCAACCGGGCCACCCACCACCAGGCCGCGCCAACACGTGCTACGCCAAAAGGGGGGGAGGTGATGTAACGACAGAGTCGTCACCATTATTGTAAATATGTAAATACTGTAAATATGTTAAAAGGTTTCGAATATATATATATATGTATAACCTCACGGTCTCTTCCTGCTAAACCTATCCTGCTTGCGCATGCGCCACCCGTGCTATCTCGCTTGCACGCACGCCGCTCGTACTATCTCGCTCGCACGTACGCCCCACGTGCTATCTCGCTTGCACGCACGCCGCTCGTGCTATCTCGCTTGCACGTACGCCGCTCGTGCTATCTCGCTTGCACGTACGCCACACGTGCTATCTCG